TCTCTGCCTGCCAGTCGCCCTGCTCTTCAGGAGCAGTCACGGAGTTGTGACACATCCCACTTTGATAAAGCTATTCTCTTCCCTCTACCACCAGCTGGCCCTTGAATTTTTTCCAAGGCAAAGCCAAGAACCCTCTTGGGCTAAGCTCCAGTTTGGGTTCATGTGGCCTGCCTCTGTTTCATTCTGAGGCATGTATGTGTGGGTGGATGGATCCTATTAGTCCTGCTCAGTGTGCAAGTGCCCTTCAGATCAAAGAACCTCTGCTTTCCTTCATATTTTGAAAAATCCCTGATAGTCAATGTGGTGCTTCCTTGCCACACCCTCTCCACAGTCTCCCCACTTGCCCTTCTTGTCTCTTAACTGCTCCATCAGCTGTTTTGGTGTCTCTGGGTCTTGGAGCTGTTGTGTTCTTCAGTTTTATATTTTTATATTCCAGTTTCCTAATTTTTATCTTCAATGGCATCTGGTCTACCTTGCTTAATGCAGTGACTATTTTTTATCTCTAAGATCATCAAAGTGGTTTTAAAAATAAGATATAACCTGGATACTGTAAAATCCATGCTTCTTAGTGTACAGCTGGGCAAGTTTTGACAAGCACATCTAGCCATGCATTCAACACCACAGCTAAGGGAAGAACAGCTCCGTTGCCCAGAACCTGACTCCTCCCACCCCCAGCCCCTGGCAACTGCTGATACCTTTTTAGTCCCCATGGTTTTGTCTTGAACAATGTTATGTAAGTGGAATTATTCAGTAAGAACCTTTTGACTGCATTGTTTTCATTCCACATAATGCATTGAGGTTCAGCCTTGCAACCATCAGTGGTTTTCCTTTTTCACAGCTGCATAGTATTCCAGCATACAATACAGTGCATTTGCTCACCAGAAAGTTTAGGTTGTTTCCAGGTTTTAGTGACAAAAAATAAAGCCACTATAAACTTCATAAATTTATAAACAGTTTTTTCTATACTAGCATGCATTTGACTTGTCAAACACCTAGGACTGGGATGGCTGGGACATAGGATAAATATATGTATAACCGTAAGAAACTGCCAGACTAGATGCCCAAATGGCTGAAACACTTTGCATTCCCACAAGGAACAAGTGAGAGTTCCACCTGTTGTATCTTCTCTCCAGAACTTAGTATTTGGAGGTGGTTTTTATTTGGTTGTTGTATTAATCAGGGTTCTCCAGACAAACAGAATCAATGAGGGGCGGGGTGTGTGTGTGTGTGTGTGCGTGCATGCATGTCTGTGTAGCAGGTACAGGGAGGGGAGAGAGAATTTAAGGAGTTGATTCCTGTGACTGTGGAGGCCTGGCAAAATCGGATGGTGTAGATCCACAGACTGAAGACTCAATAAGGAATCTGAAGGCATCCGCCACAGAATTCCTGTGGCTTGGGGAGCTTAGTCTTCATTCTGTCCAGGTCTTTGACTGATTGGATGAGTCCACTCAATCGTGGAGTGCTATCTGCGTTATTCAAAGTCCACCGATTTCAACATCAATCTTATCCAAAAGACACCTTCACGGAAACATCCAGAATAATGTTTGACCAAATATTTGAGCACTGTGGCCCAGTCAAGTTGACACATAAAATTAACCATGACAGTTTTGTTCTCTTTTTCTTCTTAGCTGTACTAACAGATGTGTGGAGGTGTTTTGTTGTGGTTTTAATGTATATTTCCCTGGTGAATGACAATGTTGGGCAAATTTTTATGTGCTATATTTTCTTTGGTGAAGTGTCATCTTAAAAATTGGGTTCTTTGCTTTGCAAATATTTTCTGCTAGTTAGCAGCTTGTCTTGTAATTCTGCTGTCGTTTAAGAGTAGAAGTTCTTAATTTAATTTGTAAGTCATCCATTTTTTCCTGTTGATATAATGTTTTTGGTGTCATATTAAAGAAATCTTTGCCTAACCAAAGATCATAAATATATTCATCTGTGTTTTCTTCTAGAAGTTTTATAGTTTGAAGTTTTACATTTAGGTCGATGACCCATTTTGAGTTATTTTTATTCTTATTTATTTATTTATTTTTGAGACAGTATCAGTCTATCTCCCAGGCTGGAGTGCAGTGGCTCAATCTTGACTCACTGCAACCTCCACCTCCCAGGTTCAAACGATTCTCCTGCCTCAGCCTTCTGAGTAGCTGGGATTACAGGCTACTGTTATCACTGTACACACCACCGTGCCCAGCTAATTTTTGTATTTTTATTAGAGGTGGGGTTTCACCATGTTGGCCAGGCTGATCTTGAACTCCTGACCTCAAGTGATTCACCCAACTTGGCCTCCCAAAGTACTGGGATTACAGTGTGAGCTGCTGCACCAGCCTACCCCAAACATAAGCTCTTTACACATTAAAGAACTAAGCCTCCCTCCCTCCTCCTCCAAGCCCTCATAACTGGCTTTCTGTCTCTATGAATTTGACTCCTCCAGGGACCTCATACTAGTGGAATCACACAGCATTTGTCCTTTTGTGTCAGGCTCATTTCGCTGATCATGATGTTTTCAATGGCATATGGGGTAGGGACATGATATGTGTAGTACATATCAAAATTTCCCTCCTTTTTAGGGGTGAATAGTTTAGCTCTTAGGAAAAAAATGGTGAAAATCTTCATAACATTGGATTTAAGAAATGCATGAGTATATATGACATCAAAAGTACAGGCAACAAAAGAGAAATAGGTGAATTGGACTTCATTAAAATTAAGACCTTTTATGCAGCAAAGGATGTTATCAAGCCCATGAAGAAAACTCATGGAATGGAAGCGAGTATTTCCAAGTCATGTATCTGACAGGGAATCTACATCTTTATATTAAGCCATCAGGCTTTGTTCAAACTGCTTCACAAAAAGTATCTCATCAGAAGTCAATTCCTTTTCCAATGGTGGACCTGTGCGGCTCTTTCTTAGCATTAGATTTCCATGGGTGTCTTGCAATTTAGGTGCACAGGCTCACTTAGTGGAAGTGTCTTGGTTCTTCTTGTTCTCTGTCTCCCTCTCTAGTTCTGAGCCTCTCTTTGTCTGGCTGTATTTTCCAGCGGTGGCTGCGTGGCCTGGTGACTCCACCTGATCTTCACACAGTGGACCTCACGCACCATTATGTAAGTGGAATCATGTCCGTAGCCTTTAGAAACTGGCTTTTCACACAGTTGATGTTCACTGAGGTCATGGCACACATCTGTGGTTTGTTCCTTTTTTTTTTTTTCAAGGTGGTGGCCCACGGCATGGATGCACCATGGATTATTTAACCATTTACCTATTGATGGACTTCTGGCTTGCTTCCAGTTTTAGACTATCACACAGAAAGCTGCTATAAACCTTAGTCAACAGGTTTTTGTGTGACTATAACTGGGGTTTCACTCTGGGAATAGATGCTTACCAATGTAACTTCTGGGTCATGGTGGCTACATGGTCAGATTTTAAAGAAACTCAAACTGTCTTGGAGAGGGGATATACCATTTTTCCTTTCCTCATTCCCTGTTTTTAGCTTTGACATCTGATTAAGGGGACAATATGGAGTCATTGAGAGTGTTTAAGCCTAAGTGTGACTCAAATCCCAAATGAGTCCAGGCAACCACAGTGCCCACCCCAGCCCAGTGCCCACCCCAGAAGGGGCAGTTGCGTGTCTCCACCCCCATGTACCACATTTTTGTCCAAGGGGGACCCCCATGGGCGCTAAGCCTGACTACAGACACCGTTTTACCAAGGGCAGTGGACAGCTCCAGGCCCCCCTGGGGCCATCTGGGGGCCAGAGGCGTAAGTCAGCTCATATTTTAACAACTTCATTCATTTATTCATTTTTTATAGAGCCAGGGGTCTTACTATGTTGCTGAGGCTGGTCTCTACCTCCTGGCTTCAAGTGATCCCCCCACATCAGGCTCCCAAAATGCTGGGGTTTCAAGTAGGAGCCCCCGCCCCACAGTATGGGTCTTTTCAGAGCTGAAGGTTCAGGGGAAATTTCTGGAAGAAGACTGTATCTATCCCGGGCTTTCTGGCCTGAGGCTGACTCACAGACTTGGCTCTGGGTCAGAATCCTGCAGATTATTCATAAAAATGCTATCAGTCGCTTGTCTATTGTGACGCAAAGCCCCCTACTCCCATAAGATCTGCCTCTCTACTTTCTCCAGAATTTCCTAACCTGGATGGCTTCTCTTCTCTCCCCTCTGTGTGAGCCTAAATGGGAGCTTTGACCTAGAGGGGCGCCCCCGTGAAGCAGCGACTCTGCCAAAGCAAAGTCACCCTCCCGCCCTGGTTGGGGCTCAGCTCCAGGCTGCAGGAGACAGCGGGGTGGGGCAAAGGGGCTGCAGAGAATGCTCAGCGGACCCGGCGACCAAGGCCGGGAGAGGTCCCCCGGGCCCCACGGGTTTGGCCTGAATCCCGGGCGGGCCGCTCTGGAGTGGGGAACGGGAGTGGTGGACAGTGTGGGTGGCAGAGTGGGGACAGTCCGGGTCTCCGACTCCCACTCCTGGCTGTGCACTCTGTGGAGACCCAAGTGTCCACCCGGGAATTTTGGCGCCCGGAAAGCACCGTGAGTCTCAGGCGCACAGGACTCACAGGACCCGGGCGCACAGGACCGGGGCGCTCCCAGGAGACTTCTGCCAGTGCAGGGAGCACTCGAGGACACCCCAAGCTGCCTCCACGAACGGGGACGGAGCGAGCCCTTCCCTGAGCGCAGGGAGTGCAGTGAGATGCCCCAGGAAGGCAGCGGTAGGCCGCAAGGTTGTGGGGGAAGACCACCCCGCCCGTGGGACCACCCAGCGGGCCGCTTCCTCCTCCCTCCTCCCGCGGTGGTCAGAGGGTCACCAAGACCGCCCCGCTCCGCTCCCCTCGGCCGCTTCACCGGTGCTGGGGCCTCCCCCGCGCCGGGATTGGACGCGACAGAACGGGGGTGGGGGCAGGCGGGGGACCCCAGGAGCCCAGGTTCCCACTCGGGCTGAGAGCAGCAGGCAGTGCAGAAGCTGCTGGTTCGCACGGAAAGGGCTCTGCGCGAAGCCGGCGGGCGGCGCGGAGGAGGCGGCAGCTGCAGCTGGGGCCCCCAGGATGTTTGACAGCTCGCAGTATCCCTACAACTGCTTCAATGACGACGCCGACGACTACCCCGCCGGCAGCTCAGACGAGGACAAGCGGCTTACGCGGCCCGCGTACAGGTGACTGAGGGGCGGAGGTCGGGGTTTGGGAGACAGTAACACTCCCTCTGCAGGGGCCAGAACTTGCCTGGGACGAAGGAAGGGGAGATGGCTTCCTTCTTTCGGGCGGAGCTCAGAAAAAGGAGGACACATTTGTCCCTCCTTTCAGGAAAGGCAGGGAAGGTTCTCGGCCTCCCTAGCCCAGGCAGAGTTTCTGGGGTCTGGGTGGCGGCGGGGGCCGCGAGCTGCGGGTCATTTCCACAACTCCGCCTGGCTCCTCCGCCTCTGCACCCCACGGCGCCCTGCGGGGTGGGGAAAGGAGGGGGGCTGCCGGGCGGAGACCCCTCCTGACCCCCGGGCTCTGCAGCTACATCGCCTTGATCGCCATGGCCATTCAGCAGAGCCCCGCGGGCAAGGTGACCCTGTCCGGTATCTACGACTTCATCATGCGCAAGTTCCCCTATTACCGCGCCAACCAGCGCGCCTGGCAGAACTCCATCCGTCACAACCTGTCCCTCAACAGCTGCTTCGTCAAGGTGAGCGCCGCCCCGACGGGCCTCGGGATTCCTCGCGTGGCGACACCTGCGCCAGGGCCTCTGGGGGCAGGGACGGGAGGGGACCTCAGGGAGGCGGCCGCAGGGAGGTCCGTCTTCAGCCCCCTGGGCCGCATCTACCCGCACAATGCGCCACCCGCGCTCCCTTCCAGGGCACCCCGGGGGTGACGCGGCGGGCGGGAGCACAGCACAGCGGAGCCGCTCCCAGCCCCTCCCTCCGCGCGCGCAGGTGCCGCGGACCGAGGGCCACGAGAAGGGCAAAGGCAATTACTGGACCTTCGCGGGTGGCTGCGAGTCGCTGCTGGACCTCTTCGAGAACGGCAACTACCGGCGGCGGCGGCGGCGGCGCGGCCCCAAGCGCGAGGGAACTAGGGTTCCGCGCTCCGGGGCAGCCCAGGGGACCCCGGGTCCGACCGAGCCGCCAGCCGCGCAGGGGCCCCTGGCTGCGGACAGCGCTGGTGAGGGCGCCCCGGGCCGCAAGCCCCCCGCCAGCCTCACCATCCCGGGGAAGGAGCAGCCCCGGGACCTCAAGTTCAGCATAGACTACATCCTCTCCTCCCCAGACCCCTTTCCGGGGTTCAAGCGGCCCGGTTTTGCACAGGAGGGCAGATACCCGCGGCTGGAGAACGTGGGCCTCCACTTTTGGACAATGTGATGTGGGGCCACTCTGGAGGCCCCTACAGGCTCAGTCAGGGTTCTTCCCCAGACCCTCCCTGGAAAGATGATTCCAGCCCCACCTTAAGCCAAGAAACCAGAGTTGGGCAAATCCTGCAATTCCTCCCGCACACTGAAGGTCAGGTGCCACACTAGTCCTGGATTGGGGAGCTCGTTAAAGGTATAGACTTTGGGGTTGTGACTTTACCCATTCAGAAAACAGTTCTCTTGCAGGGAAAACCCAACTGGGTTCCAGTTTTACTTAAGGCTTTGCTCCAGACTGACCTCCTGCTCTTGCTCTGAGGAATAAAGGCACAGGGTCATGTTCCCAGAGTCGGGTAACATTTCATTCCTGGGTCACTTGAGAGTGAGCTCTCTACACAGCCCAAAAGCCACAAGTGCCCAGTGTGTGGTTAGGGGGCTGACTCACATCGTCCCCATGGTTAAAATAATAGTGATAAGGCACAAACCATGAAGATAGACCTCAACTGACCCCATGAGTTAGTCACCCCAAGGCTTGTGATGCTGTCTGTGTTAGGGATGTAGTGATTGGACGTGATAAATGTATCTTATTTCATCAGCTGAGTATTTTGGTGACAGTTTAAGAAATCCATTATGCTTTTTATACGAGAGGGGAGAAAGAAAATGTGGGAAGAAGGGGCCCAAATTTGGGATGATGCTGGAGCAAAGTCCAAATTTCTTGATTCTGCTGAGCAGGGAGTAAACCCTGATTCAGAGAACTTCCATCGGTTGTTTCCCAGAATACAGGCTCCCAAGAGAGCAGACTGCTGATAAAATTCCTGCCACACCTCTCAGTACACAATTACAAGCATCCAAGGTGGGTGCACTTCACTTAAAATGTAAATGATGTAATTACTGTGTAGAGACGGGCATTCTAAAAAACAACAGTTATGCACAGTGAAACTATTTGACCAGCCTTATCATTTTTCACCAGCCCATTTTTGCAGAGTTAATTGCTTTCAGTGACTTAATTTGAACATTAGTATGGATTACACCTAATCTGATTCACTCGGTGACAATGATTGGCTAATTTTGAGAACAGCAAAAAACGCACCCAACAAGGCTGTCTGTCTCATTTGGGAATTACATAGTCTTGCTTTATCAGACCCTTAAAAACAGGGGCTGGGAGGCAGTGAAGGCAGGCAGGCTGCAGAGACAGACCAAAACATGCAAAAGACGCTTGGCCCTGGCTTCATCTCTATTCAGAAAAATCCCAGTATTCCCCCACTCACTTACCCTGTAAATAGACTCGATGTATTCTGTTAGTTGTTTTGAAAAGAGGGAAGAAAGCCACTGCTGATGGCATATTTTTAAAAGCAATGGGGCATTTTCAATTTGCCAGTGTGTGATATCCTGCAGCTTCAGAAAGGTGAGCACCTGGCCCCGTGGAGATGCACCCACTCCCCAGCCTCTGGGCCCTGACAACCGCAGCCTCTGCCTACCAGGGCACCCTTCACCCAGGGAGAAGGAGCCAGAGCCCTCAAATGCCTGTTCCTGGAAGTGGAAATGAGGCTTGCAATGTGGACACCTCTCCTTTGCAAATGTCAGCTTCCAGCTTCCAGAGCTCTCTTCTGGGAGAGCAGCCAGCGCTCCTGATGCTCCCACCGCCCACCAGGTGTAGGATCCTAGGAGATGGGGGCTGTGGCTCTCATTCATGCCCGTTCATGGATGGGAACCTGTATGGCAGGCATGCGGCCCCAGGGGGGAGGGGCTCCTCAACCCCTCCATGCTGCCTTGTACATGCTACCGGCATGGCGTGTACACGTGTGTGTGTAGTGTTATTGTGATGTGTGCTGTGTGTCTGTCTGCATGCCTGTTATTTTTATCCCTCTGCCGGTTCTGCTAAAAGCATAGATTTAAATCCTATGAGGTGTAATTTAGATGGTCATAAGAGGCAGATGCTCCCATACATAAGTATATGTCAAAGAAAGTATCTGAAGATATATTTTTCTGTTACCAACAGAGGAAATAAAATTTACATTTTACCTTTTGAGTTGCTGCACTTTGTTCTGATAAGCAAAGCCTAATTTGGAACAACAAAAATCCTTTCCTTTCCCTAAACAGGATTCTGTTTGGGGGTCTCAGAACAAGTTGAGGTCTTTATAGCTCATACTCTCTGAGAATGTATTTGTGGCCAAATGCAGACTCAATGCCAGCGAGAGGCAGGGGCAGTGCCAGGCGAAATCTGTGTATTATGAAGTGTAGCATTCGTTTTGCAAAGGATATCAATCATATTTTTAAAAGCAATGGGACATTTTCAATTTGCCAGTGTGTGATATCCTGCAGCTTCAGAAAGGTTCCCAGCTCTTAGAATGAGTGGCATTTAATACCAGCAACATAACAGGGTGAGAGCTGGCTGTGACCTATTCAAATGTCGCCACCACCACACAGACTTGCCCAACACAATTATAATTAAATACTTTATGCCTTTCTTGCAAATCCGCTGATTGATCATCGATATGTACATTACCACCACATTACCCCCGAGCAGATGTCTGCCACACGCAGGTTATGGATCAGCAGGTTTCCATTAACAAAGTTGGGAGGTGCTACCAGGCGGACATTCAGGGGCGGTGTGTATGAATTACTGTGTTTTGGACAAAATTCCCAGGCTGGGTGGCACCTGGGCCCTGAGCTCCTTTTCCCAACACTCTGGGGCATCCCTTCTCACAGAAGCTGGGCAGAGGCACCTAGACCAAATGCCGTGGGGGTGAGAGATGGCCCCTGGTAGTTCCTGAAGGATGAAGAATCCCTCCAAACGATTGCCCTCCCTCCCATGGATGGAAGCAGGACAGCAGCAGATTTGAGAGCAATAACGAGGTCCATGAGTGCAAACTGACCACAGACAAGACCTGCCTCCTGATAGCTGACTGGTTGGGTATAGCGCAGCAGCACCCCTCCAGAGAGGCTTCATTAGCAGACACCTGCAGTTGAAATAAGACTCTTGGAATCTGCTGTCCATTGGCCCCTGATCTGCCTCCTGGGGAACAAAAGAGAAAAGCCTCTTTTCTCCATTCCTTTCATCCTTGATTGATCAGGGTGGGGCTTTTGTGTATTCATTAGCAAATATTCATGAGCTCTGAGCTAGGAGTTGAGGTGCAACCATGAACGAAAGCCCAGACTGCTGCCCCACAGCACACGTGTGAAGTAGAGAGGTAGCCTCTGCACGCATGCAGAGTCCTGCACCAGGATGTGTCAAGAAGGGAGCCACAGGGCACTGAGACAGAGGGTAATGGAGTGGTGCAAAGGTTAGCTCAGAGCATATGGCCAGGCAAGGCTCTCAGGAGCCGAGGCCCTGAAGGCAAGCTGGAACAGCAACCCAGGAGGAAAGTGCATGCCAGGTAGGGGGTCAGCCTGTGCCAAGTCCTGTGGCGGGGAGGAGTCAGGAGCTTGCAGAACAGACCAGAGGCCAGTGTGACTGAGGGAGGTGCAGACAGAAAGCCATGCACAGGAAGACCTCAGCCACACACACCCCCAGCCCCCAAGTCCAGGCCAGACTTATTGTTTCTTTAGCCTTTGAAATGCGGCTCCTGTATCCACTTCCTTCTGTCCCTGTTCTTTCTGATATGTTGAACTCCAGCACAGCTCAGAGAACAATCACCTCCCATGGTCTGGGTGCTTGGCCTTGGTTAATGTGGCCTCCATACACCACACACTACTCCTGCTCCTGTCCCCAGGCCTTTCCTCCTGGCCAGTTCCACCCCCTGCTCATGGAAGGTGTGGATGGGGTGCAGAGGGTGGGGGTCTCCAGGAGCCCCCTCCTCAGTGTCACCCCTGCCTTGCATCTGCTTAGTTGGGACAGCTGCCCTGAGGGACCCTGGAGGTCTGTGGTGGCACTGGTTTCCCTGGATGGAGGAGCACTGGGCTGGGAGTCATGCCACTGTGTGTCCTTGGCAGGGTCCTTTGCTCACTGGAGTCCGAGGGTCCTTGCCTGTGGCATGGGCTGTGCCCAGCACCATCCAGGGCTTAGGCCATCAGCTGGACCCACAGGCCCTGGCCCAGCTCTGCTCTCATCTCACGCCCCTGTGCATCTCTCTGGCCCTGGGACCCATCAAGGGAAGGGACTGGCTCCCTGGGGTATAAAGGCCTGAGCTGGGCCTTCCCGTAGAACCTGGCTCCCCACAGACCCCAGGCTGGGGCAGCTCTCTGGGCATCTCCCTTCCTGGAGGCAGCCAGGGACTCCCTGCCTCTTTCCCTGGGACCCCGTGGTCTGCCCCTGGGCACCTCCCACCAGACTGGCAGGCCAGAGGACAAGGATTTCCTCAGGATGGCACCAGGGCAGTGAGGGCCAGTGAGGGGCCAGAGGACATGGCCCCAGGTGGGCTGGGACTGGCATGAGGACACAGCCGGTGTTTCCCTCCCGGATTACTCTGAGCAGTCGACACTGACCTCTGTGTGGAGATTGAGAGGCCCTCCCCACTTGGCCTGGGTTTCCTCTGTGGTTCTGACTGGGTTTGGGGAGCAGGGGTACCCACTGCCACCACCCCAGGCTGTGACAGGGCTGGGCTCCTGAAATTCCTCAGTTCTAACCCTCTGGCCCCCAGCCCTATGCCAGGGCCAGACCAAGTTTATCTCCATGCTGAGGGTCTTGGAGTCTCTCTGTGTAAACATTCCAGAGGAGGAACCCAAACAGGCTGTTTCTCACCAAAATATGAAACTGAAAACCATCACAGGACTTGCCTGAAGCTGCCTGCGGCCTGGGGATACAGCGTCCCAGCAGGTGGGACTCAGGGTCCAACTTTGCCCCTTCCTGGCACTGTCTGACCACCCCTACATCCCCCAGGCTCCCCTTGGCCCTACCAGGCCCCACCTTGTACCCCCCACATACCTCCCCCAGGTCCTGCCCAGCCCCTCCTGGTGCCCTCAGCCTACCTGGTCCTCCTGGCCCCTCTGCCTCTCCTTGGTCCCTCCTGGCACTCCCTGGTCACCTGGGTCCTTTCTGCCCCCCAGCCCCTCCCATTCTCCCCCTCAGCCCCTCTCTCTCCCCAACTCTTACTGGCCCTATGACACCCCCAGGTCCCCAGGCCCCTTCTGAATGCCAAGCCCTTCCAGCCTTCCTCCCTGCCTCTTGTGCTCCCCCAATTGTCCTGGCTCTCCAGGCCCCTCCTGGCCCCACCTGGGCCCTCTGACTCCCCCAGGGTCCCTCCTGTCTCCCCGACCCTCCCATCCTCCCCAGTCCCTATCTCCCCCCATTCTTATTGGTCCCCCTGTACCCTCAGCCTCCATGTCCCTCTTGCGCCCCAGCCCTTTGCCCCCTACCCTCCTGGCCCCCAGGCCCCAGGCCTCTCCTGCCCCCACCAGCCCCATACCCCCTGATCCTCCTGGCCCCCAGGTCCCCTAGCCTCCTGTCCCCCAAGCCCCACAGCTCCACACAGGTACTGGGTCTTGATGGTGCCTTGTTCACCTTCCAGGCTCTGTCGGAGCCTCCTCTTGGCACCAGGGCACACATTGGAGCTTTTAGTCACTTTCAGGTCTAGGAAGTCCAACCCAGGCCAGCTTGGAATTCCAGCTTTGGTCTGAGCAGACTCAGGGTGCCTACTTAGGGTCTCTCAGTTTGTAGTAGAGGAGGTACAGGGCTGGCCTCCCCTCGGGAGGTCAGGGTATGAGGAATGAATGGTCCTGGGGAGATGGGGTGCAGCACTCCCTGGCTTCCAGGCTCTGAGACCCCCAGAGGGTGGAGGTGGGGCTGTGAAGTCACAGGAGCCTGGGGAGCCTGGGGAGGGGTGAGGGCCACCTCGAGCAGCCAGAGGAGGGGATGCTGCATCCTGGCTGCAAGGCCTCCAGGAACCAAGCCTCCCCAACCCCAGTCAGTGAGGGACGAGGAAGCGGGCAGAATGAGGGCACAGCCAGCCTCCAGCAGCCAGGAGTCTGGGGGCCACTGGCAGCTTCCTCAGATGGGAGACTGCGCTTTGAACTCAGGCCACTGCACCCGAAATAACTGCTCATGTCCAGCGCCTCGGCCCCCCCGGGGTGATACTGAGGATCTCATCGACAAAACCTGGTTGAAGATGGGACTCGGGGGAGCAAGGTTTCGAGGGCCTTTGGTCAGGCTGAGGTCCCACACTAAGCATCTACTGAGAATGCCTGCCCTGGCGTTGGTGATGAGACTCGAGCCTGCAGGGCAGTGAGAGGAGGTGCTGGGAGGCAGTGGACAGAGCACATTCGATCTTGAGAAATCCTACATATGGGTCACTTCCTCTTCTGCACACAATGGGTGCCCTGCACACAGACGATACGTAAATCCACAGGGTCCTTAGGAAGAAACTTCTCTCAGGGAGGGGATGGCCAGGAAAGTCAAGTCATTCACAAAGACTGTGCCACGTCCCAACAAACCCAGGCCCAGTGTCCTGGGGTAGCCCTGGAGGGCACCCTAAGCCTGGTAGCCTGGTAGAAACAGGGACTGGCGTTTACCAGGGCTCTCCATGTGCTGGGCACGGTAATTACACTCACCCCCCAGGACCCCATGGAGTCAATAACATGATGCCCTCCAGTGCACCCGTGAGACTTGGAAAGGGTCACTTGCCTGGCCAGTGTGCAGAGCAGGCTGAGCTCAGGGGTCAGCAAATGGTCTGGAGGGACCCACAGGGTCGCCAACGGCGCTGATAGTGACCGATGGCCAGGCCACTTGGAGGACAGGAGACAGGTCTCTATGCACCCGAGCCTCCAGGGCTGTGCCGCCACTTCCCAGGGCCCTCAGCTCTCCCCTCTGAGAGGGGACGATGGAATGACAGTCCAAGAGAGAGCAGGTGCCGTCCCCTGCAGTGCAAAGCTCAGGGCTGCAGGCAGTGGGATGCTCCGGGCTGGGGCTGTGGGATCCCAGGAAGGATGCTCGGGGCTGTGGGCCTTGGGACCCTGGTAGGATGCTCAGGGCTGTGGGCCATGGATCCCCTGGCAGGATGCTTGGGGCTGCTCTCATATCCTCAGAAGTACAGTCCCTGGCTCCAGCAGGTGCAGAGG